GATTTACAAACACAATGGCGCTGTACTTACAAAATGGTTACTTAATTACAAAATTTAATGAATTTATAAATACTGAAACCCTGCGAGACTGTGGGGAATGAAAAATGCGTCTCGGATTCAACCAATGCCGCACTGTAGTCTATAAAGAGTTTAAATTTACGTAATGGGAAATACTACGTACAAATTTATAACAAATATTTATGAGCTTATATGAAATTTGTTAATCAGTTTTAGCGATCCATTTGTTTTCCGTTTACTGGGTGCACATTTGCAGCATACGTGACTGATTTCTCTTAAAAAGTGTTTTGAATTGAACTTTATTGTGCGCTTCGCCTTATTTCTTCTTTGAGTTTAAGTTCAAGATTTTGGGTGATGATCGTTTCATGTTGATGGATGGTCTTTAAGGAAAATGACCAAGGTACTTTGAGACGCGGAAGACGTAACTTATGACAGTCGTGTCTTAATTGTTATTTGAGTTGAGCAGCGCACAGACAACAAACTCTAAGGCCGCGGTCACAGTGGATTAGAATTCGTACGAAAATTTGTTCGTTTGTCAGTCAGTCACACGAATACGAAGTTGATGTATAGTGAAAGGTTACATGGTAAAATGTCCCTATTGTTTTTAAGTTACTAGACTATCGAGTCAAAAAGTTTCACTCAAGGATCGTTCGGTATTCAGTTGTATCGGATTTTTATATTGGATTTTGTGACAATGGAAACTTTCCCTAAACATTTCTAAATTGTTCTCAAATATTTGAATAACTTAAAAGTACTGCCTTTTTTTGAGGCCGGAAAAAAAATTGTCTGAGATCGACCGGGAAAACATTTTCTTATAGAATTTGGCCCGTAGAATCCATAATTTCAAACAGTTCCAAGATTGGGCTACTAGTTCAAAAGTTACAGCCCTTTGAATTTTCTTTCGAAATTGTTTTCTAGTCTATAACTTTTGATTGAGAAGTCTGATCGAAAAAGTACGAATTGTTTTGGATTCTACGCACCAAAATTAATAAGAAAAAGTGTTTTCCCGAGAAATTTTGATGCAGTCGATTTTTGGTAAAAAAGGAAGGTTATACACTGCCTTTTTTTGAAGCCCTAAAAAAATTGTCTCAGATCGACCCGGAAAAAAATTTTCTTATAGAATGTGGCCTGTAGAATCCATAATTTCAAACAGTTCCAAGATTGGGCTACTAGTTCAAAAGTTACAGCCCTTTGAATTTTCTTTCGAAATTGGTTTCTAGTCTATAACTTTTGATTGAGAAGTCTGATCGAAAAAGTACGAATTGTTTTGGATTCTACGCACCAAAATTAATAAGAAAAAGTGTTTTCCCGAGAAATTTTGGTGCAGTCGATTTTTGGTAAAAAAGGAAGGTTATACACTGCTTTTTTTTGAGGCCCGAAGAAAAAATTGTCTCAGATCGACCCGGAAAAAAATTTTCTTATAGAATGTGGCCTGTAGAATCCATAATTTCAAACAGTTCCAAGATTGGGCTACTAGTTCAAAAGTTACAGCCCTTTGAATTTTCTTTCGAAATTGGTTTCTAGTCTATAACTTTTGATTGAGAAGTCTGATCGAAAAAGTACGAATTGTTTTGGATTCTACGCACCAAAATTAATAAGAAAAAGTGTTTTCCCGAGAAATTTTGGTGTAGTCGATTTTTGGTAAAAAAGGAAGGTTATACATTGCCTTTTTTTGAGTCCCGAAAAAAAAATTGTCTCTGATCGACCCGGAAAAACATTTTCTTATAGAATGTGGCCTGTAGAATCCATAATTTCAAACAGTTCCAAGATTGGGCTACTAGTTCAAAAGTTACAGCCCTTTGAATTTTCTTTAGAAATTGGTTTCTAGTCTATAACTTTTGGTTGAGAAGCCTGATTGAAAAAGTACGAATTGTTTTGGATTCTACGCACCAAAATTAGTAAGAAAAAGTGTTTTCCCGAGAAATTTTGATGCAGTCGATTTTTGATAAAAAAGGAAGGTTATATATACACTGCCTTTTTTTGAAGCCCGAAAAAAAAATTGTCTCAGATCGACCCGGAAAAAAATTTTCTTATAGAATGTGGCCTGTAGAATCCATAATTTCAAACAGTTCCCAGATTGGGCTACTAGTTCAAAAGTTACAGCCCTTTGAATTTTCTTTCGAAATTGGTTTCTAGTCTATCACTTTTGATTGAGAAGTCTGATTGAAAAAGTACGAATTGTTTTGGATTCTACGCACCAAAATTAATAAGAAAAAGTGTTTTCCCGAGAAATTTTGGTGTAGTCGATTTGTAGTAAAAAAGGAAGGTTATACACTGTCTTTTTTTGAGGCCCGAAGAAAAAATTGTCTCAGATCGACCGGGAAACACAATTTTCTTATAGAATGTGGCCTGTAGAATCCATAATTTCAAACAGTTCCAAGATTGGGCTACTAGTTCAAAAGTTACAGCCCTTTGAATTTTTTCAAATTGGTTTCTAGTCGGTAACTTTTGATTGAGAAGTCTGATTGAAAAAGTACGAATTGATTTGGATTCTACGCACCAAAATTAATAAGAAAAAGTGTTTTCCCGAGAAATTTTGGTGTAGTCGATTTTTGGTAAAAAATGAAGGTTATACACTGCTTTTTTTTGAGGCCCGAAGAAAAAATTGTCTCAGATCGACCCGGAAAAAAATTTTTCTTATAGAATGTGGCCTGTAGAATCCATAATTTCAAACAGTTCCAAGATTTGGCTACTAGTTCAAAAGTTACAGCCCTTTGAATTTTCTTTCGAAATTGGTTTCTAGTCTATAACTTTTGGATGAGAAGTCTGATCGAAAAAGTACGAATTGTTTTGGATTCTACGCACCAAAATTAATAAGAAAAAGTGTTTTCCCGAGAAATTTTGGTGTAGTCGATTTTTAGTAAAAAAGGAAGGTTATACACTGCCTTTTTTTGAGGCCCGAAAAAAAATTGTCTCAGATCGACCGGGAAAAAAAATTTTCTTATAGAATGTGGCCTGTAGAATCCATAATTTCAAACAGTTCCAAGATTGGGCTACTAGTTCAAAAGTTACAGCCCTTTGAATTTTCTTTCGAAATTGGTTTCTAGCCTATAACTTTTGATTAAGAAGCCTGATTGAAAAAGTACGAATTGTTTTGGATTCTACGCACCAAAATTAGTAAGAAAAAGTGTTTCCCGAGAAATTTTGGTGCAGTCGATTTTTGGTAAAAAATGAAGGTTATACACTGCCTTTTTTTTGAGGCCCGAAAAAAAATTGTCTCAGATCGACCCGGAAAAAAGATTTTCTTATAATAATCTTGCATTCAGTACCATTGAGTAGATCCTATACGCCGTCATCATTATCGTAATTCCCCTACAATTTTCCATACAGTCCTTGCACACCGCTTTTGTAAATCTTACCCCTTCCTACCGTTTTTCCGGTAGTTTTTTTCCTTTCCATAACTTGTTTATTAGTTTATATTATTTCGTCCCATCCTGCCGCCTTCTCTTCGTTTAGTCTCTTTAATTGTTGCTTCATCTCTTTTCTTGACATCTCGTCTCCTACCTCCTCTGTTCCCTCTTCCTCTATCCCACGCAACCTGCTTTACTTCATAAGGTTCTGCTTCCAGTCCTCTATTGGTATGTCCCTCTCACTAAATTTTCCTCTGTTTCTATTTCTATGATTTCATTTTCATATTCTTTCCGTTTCCCCATTTTTTTACTTTACAAATCCTTTTGAGGATTTTTTCTACGTCTACCACCTTCTCCTCGATATCTCCCTTTCTTTTGTCTCTTCCATCCACTTCCAATTATTGCATTTTTAATACTCTCCTTCATATTTGCCCACTCCTCCTCTGTACTTTCTCCTATTTCATATACTTGCTCCCCTAGTCTTCTTCCTCCACCGTGTCCCTTATATACTATTGCTTCCAAAATTATTCCGTTTACTAGTATGTAATCAATTACCGACCTCTGTCTCCCGCCCCTGTATGTGTATTGGTCATTCCTATCTCTGTCCATATTTCCGTTTAATATTCTCCGATCTCTCTTTTCTGTTAATCCTAGTAACTGACTGATAATCTAGCCAAAGTTCATTTATCAACCAGATTTATGAAACCATGGGGGATAACAAAGGCGCTGCCACTGGAAATAGAAGGAAGCCATAGTTATTCCCATCTTTAAACCGAAAAAAGATGCAGTTGATGTTACTAACTAAAGACCCATTTGTCTAACGTGCTTTTTGAGTAAAATCTTGGTGGTTGGTCGACGCCTCACGTGGATGCTTAATAAATGTTTCCCGAACACTGCTCCGTCGAGCGGAAATGTGAGCTTGTGGAATTGAAATGTGATCGTACAGACGCTAAAGGTGCTGAATGCTCCGGTCCTCCAAATGACGATTTTACACTAGAAAAAAAAAACTACGTGATAGACAATCGCAAGGCATAGCTGACATTCTAAAGATATCAAAAGGTAGTGTTTTGTAACAGGCAGTCGCTCTAGAATTAAAAAGTATTTTTTTGAATTTTTATATTGGTCAACGTGGGAAAATTTACACATGCACCGCTTCACAGCGAACATGAACGAAAGTATATCTGACGATAAACACACGTCCGTTTTTGATAAAAGTGTGCGGTGTGAGATAAGCGAAGTACTGTAAGGGGGTTTTCGGCAGGCGATGTTAGAATTTTGAAGAGTTAACCCGTATCACTTTATTCTAAGAGTTAGTTCCTTAATTATATGCGAGTATATGTTGTCGTGTTGCATAAACGATTAATAATAGTTTGCTTATGGAATGGATGAAACATGATTCAACATAGAAAATTAAAGGCAGTCATCTATGACGTAAATTGTTCAATAAGTTATTTTCGCAAGTAGACGGATGCTGCTAAACGTTGGCACATTTGAAGTTAGTTGCAAAACAATTAAAATAGTGACTTCATCATCTTTAATTTGCAAGGCGTCTACAAGTAATTGAATTTTATGAAAGTAATTACGTTTCCTTTTTGTTTCAGAGCGATCAAATGCCCTGGGATGGTACTTAAGTAAAGGACGGATAGCTGCCAAGATGGTGGGCCACCGAAATAAGCCCGCCATAATTATTGCCATTCTTGGACTGGCGACGGTCTCGAGAGCAGCAGGTATTTACATATTAATTTCATTTATAAATAGGGTGCCCTGTGATTACGTTATTTATAAAAGTGTAATATATTCCGCCGAAAAGGCTGTAATTTTCGTTCACATAAATTATTTACACCTACTCGGATTGTCTTTGCTCCCATTTCTTTTGTACCACTTTTAGTATAATAAGTAATAAATTTTGTACACGTATGGCTATAGATTTTTGTTACGATTTTAGTGAAACGGAACGTTCGCGTAATGAATATGGCATTTTCCAGAATCACTTACCATCTGATTTAAAAATCCCTTTAGGCATGACTAATTCATGTTTCTTAGGTTAAAAAAGCGATTTGATGATATTTTATCTTAGACTTCAAATCAAATGTATCAGAATGCAGCGTAACGACAGCTTGTTTATCATCCCTATACAAATTTACAATAGGTAAACACCTCCTTAATGGTCTAAACTTGGGGGTTTCCCATTCATGGTAATTGCGGGTTCTTTATTCACTAAATGATCGAACTGTTAAATATTTATCAGTATGTTGTATTAAGTTTGTTACACAATATACTCAACACGGTAATGACGAGGGTAGTAAAAAAGCAGTCAATATAGTGAACATAAGGTGTGAAGGGTAGATTCGACTAAACAGCCCTTTATGTGCCTAACAATGCTGTCTATGTTTGTTTTGAACACCTGTACTTGCTGATATAATCGCGTGGATAAAATTTTTGAGTTAAAGTGTCAGAAAGGATCAATACGTGCCTCCATTAGAACTTGTTCAGAACTCCTTGTTTTATGGTTTCCTATTTCCAAAATTAAAAGAAGTAGTTTTTTTTCTCTATACTTCGTATTTAAAAATTATCCATTATAAATCCTGTGCTCCTTCGGGCAAATAGACCACCCGGTATATTCAATTGGTCACAATTAGATGTCAGAAATCGTAATTAGTATAGGTTAACTTAAATTAAGTCGAAATTTGAGCGAAATGTTTATTAAGGTGTCAATTTCGCTAGGAAAATGGCTAAACGTACCGCAGGAAATAAATTTCGTGTCTTCAGGTAGATAGATCATTATTTCTTTCAGACATGTATTTACGATATCGATATTGGTCACCATTTTCGAAAGCAAAGTACCAAATTGGTCCAAGCGTTTGACAGTGTTATCGTGTTCACGGACGGACGGACAGAGGGACACCATCGACTCCCCTATAAAGCTAGCATCGCTGTGCTCTGCCGCTTAATAAGGAAAGATGTGTGTTTACAAAACGCGCAATTTTAATTATTCGCATAATTTAATTCGGTAGTTTGTATGAGTAGCGTCTAGATTTTAATTTGTTTAAGGAAAATAACTGTTTCGAATGCGAATTTTCCAACCATTTCGCTTGAAAATAAGCACAATACCTAGATGTTACATTTCTAAAAAAGTGAACTCATTTACTAAGGGTTGCCTGTAAATGTGTATTTTTTGCTAACTCGTTATGTGTCGGTAACCTCCATCGAATACCGACGTCTGCAGTTAGGGTAATGCAAAAAAAGTCATCTCTTTTATTGAGGTAATAAGTTCTTTACTTTTGAAAATTTAGTGTCTCAATTTTAATAAAAGGTTTTATAATTGAAACGTCGCCTGCGTTAAACGTATCTAATTAGGCGAGGGTGCCGAGTGAAAGGTGCAAGAATTTTTTGTGTAAGTATAATTCTTTAATACCCAAATTCAATTTCAACTAATTATTTAAGCACCTCGAAAGTCAAAGGGAAGCGAGGCGTTAAGATTTTTTAACTTAAACAGAACAATTCGTCAAGCGTCAAAGGATTTTCCAACAGTTTGGCGTTCTCGAATAACTCCAGAAAATAGTTAGTTTTTACACTCAACACGCAACCCCTGCCATTTTCCCAGCCTTCCGCAGTAACCCTTACTCAGGGAGCCTTTACGATATTTTGTTTGAGGGTACTGATATATTTTTTGTAGCTTTTTCTCATCTTGAAAGGTGGAGTTCAACGTCGATATTTTATGAGCGTTGTAAATGGTTCATAAAATATTTTTTCAAATGGGCCGAGCATTAAAATTTCGCCTTTTTAGTAGTTTAAAGGTTTAATATTGAAAGCTTTTTCGTATGTAAATCTCACAATTAGGCCGAAATGCATAAAAGTCAAAACAAAGAGAATCGATCGATAGCATTAGAATACTTGGGTTAAACAGAAAAAGCTTTGCCTTACCTTCCAAATTCGATTAAGTGATGTAATACACCATTGATCAGATCCTAATTTTATACCAATTAAAGGATTTTCATTTTACTAATACACCACAAACTCACTATCAATTTTATTGAAACTATCTTCAATTGTTTTTCAGGTCCGTAGCATTTATATTGAGTAGAAAATGTAATCCTCCGACTATTTTCCCTTTTTAGGGACAAATTCCAAATTGAACGTGCATTCTGAAAATTCAGAATTGTGTCGCTCATTGTCCAATATGTGCACTACAGTCATAGTCATTAAATAATAATTGTAAGAGGTTATCGCCGTATTAACAACTACATATTGGTGTGTGCAATGGCATGTGGTCACTACCCCACCCACGAAACACCTCTGCCTAGCCAGCTGAATTACAAATGAATTTCCCAAACACAACCGGCTCCCGCTATCTAGAGGACTACTCTGGAATTACTTAATTTGAAAACTCGTGGTATTAATCGACGTCCGTAAATTCCAATATAAATCTTGGGTACGAATAGAAAGATCTGACGTGAGTACTCTATCTGGGTCGCACAATGAGTTCGAATAAACACACAATTAATTCATGGACAACTAGCAGACAGACAAACTTTCATTTTTGTTTATATTAATCGCTTATCACGGCGAACTTCCTATTTTATTTATTTATTTATTTATTTGTTTTTGTTTGTTTGTTTGTTTGTTTGTTTATTTATTTATTTATTTGTTTATTTATTGCCCCTCTTGTTCTAGGCCCTCAACAGGCTTACGCCCAATTACAGAGTGACCTGCATACTGCTTTTTAGAGGTGCCCCCGCAGAAGGTATTACGTTGATCTATGCTACTCTGGTATTTACCTTACGAATTAGGAAAACTGCAGGAAAACCTAATTCGGAGTAGCCGACAGAATGCTCGAAACTGATCTAAGGGAATTCCCATCTCTGCCACATATGAAAAATTCATACCTCAGCCCAGATTCGAACGCCCGACCTCCTCTTTTGTAGCCCAACGCTCTACCACTGAGCTACAAAACCTTCATAAAGAGAGCCCGACCAGGGCACACTAAAGGCCCATTGTGCTTACTCCCTTTCTTTCGAAACTAGGTTCAGAGACCGTTCTTCTCAATAGGATAGGATAGAACCCTGTTCAGCCTCAGCTGCTTCACCCTCCCCGGTTGCAAATAACTGTCTCCAATAAGCTGATGCTATCTCTGATCAACAGCGTCACATGCTCGGTAGTTCCATCTGCCTCGCCAGTCGCCACAGAACCTGCACGTGGGCTCTCCTACAAACCCAATGTTTTACAGCTTTTAGAAGCTTATAAGACCCAGATTCTCTAAGGGGCCCTATTAAAAAGACCCTAGCTGTTTAAGTCCGGTTGCTTGTTGCCACTGACCCTGGAATTGAGTGGTCACCCAGGCTTTAATCCTGACCCTGATAACGGAGACAGCAATTCCTAGGGTAGGCGCGAGACCGTATTACATATCTTTTACAAGTAACCACCATGAAAGTAGAATCTTCTCTGAAGAGGAAAAAGTAGGCTTTAAAAAGCAAAAAAGTACATAGCGCGATCTCTAATATGACAAAAGAAAGAAGTAATAGGTTAGGTTTTCTATGATTTAAACTAAACAGATTTGCAGAGGAAATGTCTCCCGATGGCGTAACGGGTTCTAAATGGAAGATAAATTTAGATGTTGAAACAGAAAAGAGAAAAACGTTACAGAGACCACTTGTATAAACAAGGAAATCCTGTAAGTATAAGGAAATATGTTTTTCCAAACTTATAAAAGTCGTCTCCCGGGAATGACGCTCATAAACACAAGACTAATACGCCCTGAGGGATATTCCACACCCCCCAAACCCCCCAGACTTATTACTCATCGATGCCACTACACAACTTACAGCTCCAAGCTTTAGGAGACGTATTCTAAGGCTGGAGGAAACCATTAACCTTATAAACGAAGAGCACTTTTACGTAAAAAATTAGTCCTTCTAAGGGATTCACCAAGTGTTTTAAGTTGGGTGCCAGCCAAAATTAGGACCATTATATTACTCCGAAATGGTACCATGTATACAACACCAAGCTAGTTACACGTATATTCCAGGCTTTTACAAAGAACAAATTCTTCCAAATTTATAAAAAGCGTCCCATGAAAATTGAATTTCAAGCTTTGCACGTGCCAAAATTGGACTCGTCCATTTAAATGGGTTATGGAATACCCCCAGACTTCACGGTTTATTAATTTTCTTGAACGTGACTGTTTCTGTTCTGGTAATTTCTCTGATCTTTATCTTTTCTTTCATTATTATTTCTATTTTCTCTTCTGTCTTGGTTTTCTCGGTTTCGGTTATGACAGTTACGTTGATCTTGATCTCTTGGTTCTGCCCTGTCGAATCTCTTCCGTAATCTCGACTATTTTCTTGAATTTTTTCCAAAATTTCAACTTTTTTATGGTTTTTGCTTGCGCTGTCCACCTGGACATCACTGGGGAAGTGATTCAATTAATATATCTTCATTTATTCTTGGTTCCAAATGTGGAGTTTTCGATACCCAATACCACACATGGTCCGTGTATCTTCCGTTTCTTCATAAAGTTTCGGTGTGAATTTGTTTTGTTTTTCAGTTGACCAAAATTCTTCCAAAAATCCTTTCTTGAATTCCCCAACATTTTTCCACTGTTTTTGGTGTAGGTCTGACCAAGCCATTCTTCCATTATATTCCTCTTTTGTTCTTCTTGTAGGTGCATATTCATCCAGTAATTCTCTAGCGATTTCAAAAAATTCATATAGGGTGCTTCTATAACTTC